CAAATTTACTTTTCGTAAAAAAAAATCATGCATGCAATGCAAAATGTTACCATGTTGATGCACACATTTTATTTTCCTTTGTTAGAAATTTTATTAATTATTTTATTAATATTTATTTTTAATTAAAATTTTCCAGAAAAAGGAATTTAATTATATTAAAGATTTTCTATAAATATTCCAATATATTGGTAATATTTTACAAAAAATCTTCTCACCTAGGAATTTCTTAAAGCATTTCTACTCGAAATACTTTTAGAATCCTATCATTGGATAAAATTTCTTTTCTTCTCATTTTTATTACTTATATTTTTAATTTATTAATCAATTTTTATTTATTACTTTAAAAAAGAAAAATTTTATTGTATTAAAATTTTTTTTATAAATACTCCAATACACTGGTAGTATTTAAAAAAATCTTCTCACCTAGAGATTTCGTAGGCATCACTACTCGGAATACATTTGAATTTCATCGTCAGATAAAAATTTCCTTTTCCTACATTTTTTATTAATTTAGTATTATTATTAAATTTATTTTTATTTTATTTTATTTTTAAAGTTTATTTTAAAAATTAACAAAATTATAAAAAAAAATTAACCACATATTTCATCATTTAATCTAACAAATATAAATATTTTGATATGCATAAATATTAATAAAATAATATATAAAAAATAAGAAAAATTCAAAAAAATTGTTTTTACCTGAATCGAACCTGTCAACGTGTGGTTCGGTCCAACGGTTCGGTCTAGCGTCAGCGATCCAGTCACGTTCAGCGGTCCAGTTCTGGTCCGGGTCGGGTTCAGCAGTTCGATTCCGGTTCAGTCGGTCCGATCAGAGGCTAATGAAAGGTAACAGGTCGCGGGTCGGGTGTGTGGACCTCGAGTCGGGTTACGGGTTGACGCACGGATCTTGGGTGCTTAAAACGATGTCGTTTTGGGCGTTTATTGAAATGGTGTCGTTTTAGCTATTGGTCTTCTATATAAAAGTTAAGTTTTTTTTTTCATTCATTTTTCCTTTCCAAAAAAAAAATCCTCTTCTTTTTTTTTTCTACCAAACACAGGTGGCCTACCGACCGTGCCTCCACCATCACCATTGCCATTTGCAGTTCACCGACCACCGTCGTCGGTGGTCGAAAAATTTTTAAAACACATCAAAATGTTCCCGTCGATTCCTTGAACCCAAATTTGATCTCCGTTTTACTAAAAGGAAACCCAAACGGCGTAGATTTGTTCTTGAGCTTTCGGTTAAACTTTTTTTTTTGTATTTTGACTTTTTCTCTTTTTTTTTTGTGAAACTGGCTTTATTTTTTTTTTTTTGTGCAAGAAGCTTCTTGGCACTAGATTCCTCTCTACGGGAGGATTGTTGAATTTTTTTTGGGTTTTTTTTTTTTTGCAGAATCTCTCATCTGTTTTTTTCTTGTTTTGTTGTCCGACCATGAGCTCTATTTATAAAGCTCTGGCAGTGCCCTGTGCCTAAGGGAATGGCACAGGGCTAGGCATTGGGATGCAAGCGCGAGCCCCATGCCTCTTTTATTTATTTTTGGCAACATCTAACAATGGTAGGGTTACGCAGCGGGATGGGTGGTAAGACATGGTGGTCAAAGGGGTGGATGGTAGGACATGGTGGCAGTGGTGCTGAGGAAGGCACCACTGCCACCCCCATTTTTTATGTTCTGTTTGTTTGTTTGTTTGTTTGTTTTCGATATTTTATATTTTTTTGATATTTTGTATTTTGTATTTATATTTTTTTTGTATTTTGTATTTAATAATATATATATATTTTTACCGGACAAATTTGATGTCCACACAAATTATTTTTTTTAAAAAAAATCTCTTAAAATATTCTTTTATTTTATGGATATTGTTTTTTGGTTACCAAATAAAGTCTTAATACTTTAATATTTAAATATTTTATTAATTAATTTTATTTAATTTGTTTCAAATATAAAAAATTTAAATTTTAAAATATAATTTAATTTAAATATATTTTATTATTTAATTAATTTTACAATTAATCAAATTAAATTCAATCAATTAGATTTTTAAATTAATAAATTTATTTTGATTAATAAAAATAAAATCATATAATTCGTTTAATTCATTGAAAATTATGCAAATTAACCTGATGAACACCTATCTTTAAAAGCACAAATGGATTAACTGGTTTTGGTTTCTCTTGGTGTAAATCTGAAAGTAAATTAAAAACTTCTATTTCTTTTCAATTTAAGGGGCCATAGCACGTAGGCCTTTTGGTCGAACAAATGACCAAAAGCTTTTAGTTCTAGTAAAAGGCACAACGCCCACAAATGGATAACTAGCCTAACCCAAAGTACGCGAAGGGAATCGTAAAATTTGATCTAAAAAGAGTGAGGTATAGTGGTGCAACAAACAAAATTTTTGGGACGATTACAGAAGAACCAGCATATAATAAAATAAGATTTATAAAATTTTTATTTTTTAAGTGTAATTGGAAAAGAGAGTGGATTATTGTTTTGTATAATCACGTTAGATTTGCTCGTAAGTCAGGCGATTCGTTTAAATTTAAAAGTTCATTTAAAATTTTAAAAAAATTAGACATAAATATTAATTATGTTAAATAAAATTAAATAAATAATAAAACTTGATAAAAAAATAAGGCAAAACTTAAGTTTTACTATTTAAGGTCTAATCCCAACGCTGCTCGTAAATTAAAAAAATATTTTTATAACAATAGAGTAAGACTTATTTGCTTTATTTTTTATATTTGATAAGACTCATTTATTTTATTACTTGTAACAAGATAAAGTTAATTTCTTCTTTATAGAAAACAATGATATAATTTTAAATTGCAATTAATAAAATTCAATTAGAATGAAATTCAAATAATTCATAAATTCAATTAAAATTAATTAAATTAATAATTTATAAAAAAATAAAAAAATCTTTTTTTTAATTTTAAGTACTTGTACTTTTATGTATAATTAGATTTTATTATTATATATATATATATATAAATAGGCTTAAACAAAAAATCAGGTTGGATCAAATCTGAGATTACTCTGAGATTACTTAAAATATTAAAATATTTTGCTAGGCCTAGTCTGACCCATCAACAAGTTTAAACAATATATCTAAAGCTGAATTTTAAACTTTACAAAGTTAAATAGTTATTATACGTTTATTAATAATTAATTAATTTTTCATTAATATATTTAGTTGAAAACATGTCAACTCTTACACTTAATCTTTTTGGTAGAGTTTAAAAACTCCATTACGATGTATAAGATTTTCATTGGCAAAATTTTTCAAATTTCAATACTCAAAGTCTCATCATAAAAGATGCTAATAATTATTCGAACAAATTCAATTATAATTGTTACTTCCTTTGTCCCATTTTAAGCATCCACTTTTTTTTTTTTTGGAATATCCCAACATGATTTTTTTTCATTTTTTAAATATCTTCTACTCTTACTTTTTTATATTTAAATTTAACCTGTCAAATTTTTTTTTTCTTTTTGACAATAAAAGCATGATACATCAAATATTATAAAAAATTTAAATTTATAATATAAAATATATAAAAATTTTAAATTTATAATATTAAATATACAAAAATCAAAATTTCTTCTTTAATATGCATGAAAATCAAAGAATGACACTTAAAATAGAAACTGAGTATTATTTTAATTAAAATTTTTCTTCCCAATTTAAAATGGGATTGGAAGTTTAAATTGGTCATAATTTATACAAGAAAAAAATTTGTATGAAATAGTTATGTCACGTCAATAAATATTTTTTTCATTAAAATTCCGTTAAATAATCACATTATTAGAAAAAAAATCAATCATTTATTACACATCGCATATGATAAATAAATATTGAATATTTATTTCTATAAATAATTTATTTTTCTAATAATTTAATTATGTGATATAATTTGAATGAAAAAATATATATATTGATGTGGTATAATTATTTCATATAAGTTTTTTCTTTGCATGCAATGTGACAACTCTATTCAAAATTTGATCATTACCTTAAATAACTCGCCATAGAAGCTTTTCATTCCATCAAATATAGATTTTACCTATTGCGGCAAAAAGGCATAGTAGAGATTCTTCATCCAAACTGTAACCACCGTATCACAAATTCATATTTGTTTCCTTTGCAAGTTCCTTTCCATTCCAACCACCTTCCTCAAAGCCATGCATGTTAAACCATAAAAGGAAATATTTTTTTTTCTGACACAAAAAGAGATATACAGCATCTATTTTGTTTTGGAAAGATATTGATATATTTCTTATATAGCAATTTAATAAAATCGTTGCTCAAAATGGCTTGAAGCAAGGCAGTGAAGCAGGAGCTGAAATGGTAGAGAATCTAATGCAAATTGGCAAATATAAGTAGGATTTTCTAAATAATTTGACATAATTTCTCAATTTAATTACTCCTCTAATTATGTAAAAATGAAAAAAAAAACTCTTCTTTTTTACTTGTGAGGCTATAAAGTTACCCTGTTTTTGTTTCTATGAACGTAATGAATTTTGTACGAGAATGACCAAATCACGAGTCATGCTACTTGTCCTATCAAATTTGTTTTAAATATTTGTAATCTCTCATGTAATAAATAATTATTGAATAAATTCAAAAGTAGAATCTATCAATTCATGAATATGTCAATTAATTTATAAACGAGATATTACAATCAAATTAATAATTAAAAAATACAAATGTCTAAAATAAAAATGACGGGCGAATAATATTTTTCTAAATTATACCCTTTTATGTTAGGCATTATATTAATAACATAGGGTCGTGATAGTCAAGGATGAATATGAACAGGTGTGAATGAATATATGGAGCCGCAACTTTATTTGAAACCTGACAACTAATTTGTCGGAAATGAAGAAGTAAACATAATTTTCAGACATATATCTTTTTTTTAAAAAAATAAGACATATATAAAATATAGCTTGAAACATAGCTACCAGAGAAAAAGTTATTTTTTCATACATTTCACACCAATCTCGTAAAGCTATTGTTTTTCCTTCCTTTTTTAAGCCATCTGTTGCTAGTTATAAAAGTAACGGAAGTAGCAGCACACTGTTGATTGTTGTGTAGGACATTGAAAATGGAGGGCTGCAGAATGCAGATGTTAGCTTTGTTTTCATTTATACTTATTACACTTCCACCAATATATGGTTGGGGAACTGATGGCCATTCCATAGTTTGTCGAATTGCTCAGGTTTTAATGCATCTGTCTTTCAACCTTTCGTGTGATATATGCTGTTATATCGATGTGTTTTTTTTTAATTATTTTTGGGTTTGCTACCGTTGGTGACTAAAATTCATTATTCTGATAGTCTCGCTTGAGTGAAGCAACAGCAGATGCTGTGAAGCAACTGTTGCCTAAATCGGCAGAAGATGATCTTGGGAGTGTGTGTTCATGGGCAGATCAAATTAAGTTCCGTTACCGCTGGTCATCTCCTCTTCATTTCCTTAATACCCCTGATACTTGCACTTACCAATACAAAAGTAAGTTTTGACTCCCTCTTCTTTTGTTTCTTCTATTTGACACTTGTTTATACTAGGTAAAGAGAGAAAGGCATGATTGAGATTTTACTCTTTGTTTAATTTTGTAATCAGAACTTAAATCCCTCAATGTTAGCATAATCTTGAGGATTAAAATGATATGATGACAGGTCCAGTTTTAATCCAAAACAGTTACTTTTATCTTCAGGGGACTGCAAAGATGAAGATGGAGAAATTGGGAGGTGTGTTGCTGGGGCAATTAACAATTACACCTCACAGCTTCTTAGCTACAATTCTGCTGCAAGTGAAGCAGAATGTATATTCCCACACAGTACCTGTTTTTCTATCCTTTTCTCTTGTTTTCTTTCTTTAACTTGCCCATTTTTCCCATTTTGCCGATCTAATTCTGTTTTTATGTGATGAAATGAACAACTATCAGATAACCTTACAGAAGCACTTCTATTCCTTTCTCATTTTATGGGAGACATCCATCAGGTATGATCTCATTCCAGAAAAGAGTCCCACCGTTTTTACATATTATTTCATTGTAAAAAGTTGTTAATACCAATTTGAGAATTTCAATTTCACTTTAATAAAATATTGTTGTCTATTGCAGCCTTTACATGTGGGTTTTGCATCAGACAAGGGAGGCAACACAATTGATGTCCACTGGTATACAAGAAAGGAAGTTCTTCACCATGTAAGCCCAAATTTAACTTGTTCATAGCCCTTTTGGAACATGATATGTGTTGTGCATTAATGTCAAAGAATACAGGTTTGGGATAGCAATATAATTGAAACCGCAGAAGAAAGGTTCTATGATTCAAATGTAGATGCCATGGTTGATGCTATTCAACAAAATATTACGGTATCTTTTCCAAGCCAGTTTTTCACAAACTGATATAGAGCTAGTCTATAGCATTATATTCTATTATTAATTCATCGATTCTGATTTTGGATTCCTATTTTCCTTTTTCTTTAACGATTGAGAAACAGACTAAATGGGCAGATCAAGTCAAAAGATGGGAGACTTGCAGTCTCAATAAGACAACATGCCCTGACATGTATGTTTCTTAACAGTGGTTTGGTAGGATGTATAATATATGAACAGTAATACTCATTAATTTGAAAAAGTAAAAGAAACACCAACGATATCAAGCTTTACTTCTTGTGTTTGTTATTGGTAGATATGCGTCTGAAGGCATCAAAGCGGCCTGTGATTGGGCATATAAAGGCGTCACAGAAGGATCACTACTTGAAGGTAAGCTTAAAATTTATGAGATTAGACATATTGGATGTTTATTAATTCTCGTTAAAGGAAAATTAACAATGTATAAGCTGCTTGTAGACGACTATTTTCTCTCCAGATTTCCAATTGTTAGCTGGAGGTTAGCTCAGGGGGGAGTTCGATTGGCAGCCACTCTCAACCGTATTTTTGGATGAAAAGTGCCTAATCCTATTTTAATGTGGTGAATTCATCAATCTGCTTGAAGCTTTAAACAGAGAGTTGCTCTGATGTATTATCGAGCATCTAATTTATTCTGTGCATTGCTTGCAAATGTAGAAATCTATGTTCTATATCATAATAATTACTCTTAGTTCTATGCAAATAAATGGAACTAGTTATATTAATTGAAATGTAGATCTCAAATTTCTCTAGCTCTAACATAAAAAAATTTTAGCATATACTTTCATTTGAGTATGCAATTATTTTGAGAGCATATCATCTATAATTACTATAGTGCAATTAATCAATTATAATTAAGTATTGTGTAGAATTTATAAAAAAAAAAATTAAAATACATATTTTTAAGTGTTTAACTCTTATATAATTTTTTGTTATAATTGGATAATTGTAATATTGCAAGTAAAAAGAACTACAGTTGAAATATCCCCAATTATACATATACTAATGCAACCTTTATTTCCGTAACAAATAAAACATTTGACAAATAATTCATGAATAGATTCGGTTTTTATTTATTTATATTCGTTTATTAAGCTTAACAAACGATTATAAATAATATTTAGATTTTCGTTAATTAAACAAACATACCATGAAAATAATAAAATTAATTCATATTCAATTCGTTTATGATGTAAAAGTTTAAAAGAAGATAATGTTTGATGAAGAATTTATAAATAAACTCGATTTCTGTTTATTTATATTTTTTTTAATTAAACTTAACAAACAACCATGAATAATATTTTAAAATTCATTAATTAAAGGAATAGATCACAAACATAGCAAAATTTGTTCATATTTCTTCTCTACCGGTACCTGAAAGGTAAAATGAAGTCTCCTTACTGCATTTAACATAACAAAGAAAAAGTTTGAGCATCCATATGTTAAGCTAAATTTCTGTAATGTGTATAATTTACATCACAGTTGTATCAAATCAACTTTTTATCTGGCATAGAGACGTAAAATAATTTGAACTCGTTAATGTAGCATACCCTTGATCATTGTGGTTTCTTCACTAAAAGAACAGGACACTTAGCGTTATGAACACAGTAATTGCTCTCGCTCCATATAAAACCCTGCAGGGTTGAAAGGCATGGATATCAGTATCCAAATGTCTAATAAGCAAGAAATATAGAGAAGGAAAGTGACCTTTTCATTTTCCCAAAACCATGATCAACTAAAATCAGCAAATTGATAATTGAGTTTTTTAGCGATGTTACAGATAGGCACTCTTGGATCCCCTACTTCAGTAATTATCTCTACAGTCACCTGTAAACGTACAAATACAGATTCAACAGACGTGGTAAAAGAAATGCTGCAAGACCCTGTAATACCTTAATGGTGCTTGAAATTGAAGGTCTTGCTCTTTGCAACTGTCTGTAACATATAATATAGCGTTGGAGAATGATTGGCTTATACATTTTCTCTGTTTACGGCCTTTTAGCGTACATTGTCCAGTCACCTTTAGCTTTCTCACGAGGGCCATTGTAAGCTTTGTTGTTGCTCCTGGATATATAGTGCATGATTACAAAATCAATCAATCAATATTGAACCAATTTTGGCTGACTCAGTGATTCTTCAGCTGAAGTATCATACACGTGCTTAATGCTTTATTCTTTTGCTACTCATGGAGTGTTATAATGTTAGGGCCTGAAGGATATATACAATCATATCATAATAAACCCACAATAAATAAATAGTAAATTTATAAGCAAAAAAAAATCAATAATATAAAAAAATAAAATACATTAAGATTTATATGAAAAATCTTTCAGTGTAAAAAAAAATCATGAATCACTAGCAAAATTTTTATTATCAAATAATAGATATACAAAGTTTTCCTTTAACTAAAACTAGAATTAAATAATAATTAGAAAGATAATTGAAGAAATTTAATCAAATAGGTGACTCAACAAATACACTATAAATTTATTCTTATAGAGTTTTAATCCTGATCTCCACCATTTAGAATATTAAACAATGAATCATGAACGTACTAATAAAATTTTAACTCAATTGAACCACAAATTGACCTTCATTTAATCACTTGATCAACCGACAACTTTGCCCTCATCTTTATTTTCTCTCACGCCTTAGGTAACCTTCTTGTTTTTTTTTTTTTTAACTTCTCTAGCAGCTTTTTCTTTTTTTGAACACATTTAAATAGTCTAACATCATTTAAAATATAGTTAAATATAAAAATGATCCTTGTACTATAGACATCTTATTTTGTCTAGAATAATCTAACAATGTTCAAATATAATTATGATTTAGGCTCATTTTTTGCACGTGGACCAATATCATTATTTTTTGAGCCTATTATATGACTCATTTTAAAAGCCCAATGTGTGGCCTATAATGTGGCTTGTTTAATGACTCATCTTATAGCCCAAAACAAAACTCAATAAAAGCCCAAGATGACCCAAAACAAAACCTAAGTGATGAAACCTAAGGAAAAAAAAAGCCAAAAATCAAAACAACACCCAAACTTAGTCCAAGCATAAAAAGGCCCAAAAATTAATCAATATGAAAAAAATTAACTATTCAGATATTATTGATGTTGTTTTACATGAGGTATTTTGTCATAAAAAGGGCACGTGAACCATAAAAAAAAAAGGAAAAAAAGGTTTGGCGAAAAGAAAAAAGGTTGAAATAGTTATGAAAACAAAAAGAAAAGAGAAGAAATGGAAGGTCGAAACCCCAAACAAAGAAAGGAAGAAGCAAGTTAGCTCAAAACCAAAATAAAATCTAAGAAAAGCCTAGCTGATTACATGAAAAAAAAAAAAAACAATAAAACCTACATGAAAGGAACAAATAGACACACTTAGCTTGAAACAAGCTGAGGGTTTGTGGCAGTGGGAACCTACAACAAAAAAGCAAAGGTTAGTGGTTTGGTAACAAGATTGTGGGAGGGAGAGAAAGAAAAAAAATAGTAAAACTAAGTGATGACGATTTTAGGGCATTATACAAGAGAGCTAAAACCATAGAAGAAAAAGGAAAAATCATGAAAGCTTTAAGAAAGAAGGAAAACAAACAAAAAAGAAAAAAAAAAGAGATTTTAGGGAAACAAAAGTAAAGCCAAAAAAAAAATTAAAGCTTTGAAAAAAAAAAGAGAGGAATAAAGTTCGAGGGGAGAGTTTTTTAGGAAAAACCAAACATAGGAAGCAAGAAAAGGCCAGAAACAAGAACAGAAGCACTTTTAAAGAAAAGCTATAAATAGTGATGTGAAATGAAGGGCACACAAAAAGAAAGACCCAACGAAGGAGAAAAGTGGAAGCTTTGCCAAAAAAGGAGTAGCTTGCTGCAACTTGATAAAGGTAGAACCTTTACTTTTCTTAATTAATTTATTTGTATACAAAGCTACCATATTTCCACAAAAGATCTAAGGTATACAGTTGTGACTATGTCTTTCCGCATATGCTTCACTATCATCCTTATGAAAGAATAAAACGAGTTGAAAGATAAAAGCTTCTAAAATGAAATAAAAGAAGCTATGAAAACCAATAAAGGAACACATAAAAAACAAGAAAAAAAAAGGTTGGTTGCCTTGGCTCGTACCTACCCTTGAATATATCAAGAGCTTTATACTCTATTTTTAGGACAACACCGATCTTACATTAAAAAAAAAATTAAAAGGGACTTTTAAAGACCATAACCGTAAAAAGACATTAAAGATCAATTATAATAGTAAAGATGATACATTTGATCCCAAGAACAATGAAATGATTGCTAAATAAAGGTGCAAAAATGTATCTCTTGTTTACCATTTTCACGAGTAATGGTTTCATGTTTATTTTTCTTCTTTTTTTTCTTTTCATGCATGAAGTTTCTATATGGAAGCATGGAGTTCTATTCTTTTCAATTTTTATAATTTTTTTTTGTTATACTGAGCCATCATAGATATGAATGAGGTTTCTTTAGTTTCCTATATGAGGTCTATGGGTAAGAGCCTAAAGCCTTATCATTGTTGGAGACTATTGTTTTATTCATTCGTTAAAGCTCAAAGCTTTACATGTTCTTTGGTTTGCTACATGGGATTTGTTTGTAGGGGAAAGGAAAAGTTTGAAGGTTTAGGCATTTACTATTTTTAGCTATAGTATATCTATTTGAAAAAAAAAAAAAAAGCCGCAAGGACAAAAATGCCATTTTCCTACCTTGTTCTATTTTTCAAGGGGCCAAATTATTTTGTTTTCTTCCTATTGGCAGTCACAGTTTGAGCCCTTCTATGGAGTTCCATTCCTCATCTAGTTAGCTACTTGCCTTGCTTTAGTTTTATGCTTTTACTCTCTCTCCTATGACTTATTTTAGATTTAAATTTAGAGAATGTTTTATACTTGATTTTGTGCAACACTTTGTTTACTTTACTAACTGTTTGTTTAAATTATTTACTACCAGTTTTTGGTTTAGTTTTTTTGAGGCATTTCTTTTACTATCAGCATATTATTTCAATTGTTCAATAAGGCAGCTACATGTAGTTAATACCTTTAGGCTTAGTCCTGCTTGTCGAGAGTCCCATTTTTTTTATATCCATTGGTACTTACTTATGTGTTGTTTTGGGTTGATATAATTCCTATATATCCAATTTCAAAATAGTATTTCAGAAACTAAATTCATTAATTTTTATTCTCATCTTTTATTTAAATTTATGCACTTTAATCTACTTTGCAATTCACTTACATGCACTTTACATTTTCCAACAATTCAACTTATCATGCATTTTTTATTTCTATGCTAGTTTGTTTACTTGCAATCTAATATTCAAGATTAATTACTTTGTTATGCTTTCTTACCTTTATGCTGTTTACATTTCCTTAAAATTTAATTCAATGCTCTTTACTTATCATGCTTTTGAAATTTAGTAAATTTAATTTTTCATTGATATTTAGTTTCTGAAATTTTACTATTATGATTTCCTTTCAACAAATAATAAATAATAATAGAAATAGTAAACTAATAATAAGAGTGAAAATCTTCGAGGATGTGATTTTAAAGAAGCCCGAGTAATGATTCCTTAAAATCTCTATATGAAAATATTTTTTCCAAAAATACTACCAAAATAATACAGTATTTAGGGAAATATTCAACACAAAAGATTTTTTATTCATTTATTTTCTATATATATATAACT